TAAAGAGGAGCAGGCGCAGAAAGTGCCTGTACTACCACTGGACTACTTCTTCCATCATTTCTGAACACCAAAGGGGAAACTGGTTAGATAAAATTACACCTCCTCGAAAGAAAACCGTCATGTAAAAGCATTCAGTAGTCCTGAAGTTCTAAGTATAGTGTCATCACAGAGTAAAGAATTAGGGTCTTATATGCTAAAGAGGTTGGCCAAGCTGCAGGGTGCTACTGCAGCTTACTGAAGTACTCCTTTATCCAAGCATCTCATTATAAGGCCTTATAATGCCTTGAGACTGGTATTATTTAGCTGTGTTTTAGGATCACAGGGCAGTAGGGCTGGAAGGGACTTCTCAGAAGGTCATCTAGTCCAGCCTCCTGCTCAAGACAGGATCAGCCCTGACTAAACCAAGTGTCTGTCCAACCTGCTCCTGACAACCTCCAAGGATGGAGGAGGTTGCACCACTTCTCTGGGAAGTCTGCTCCAAAGCTTGGCTGCCCTCAGAGTCAAAAAGTTCTTCTTAATCTCCAGCCTCAGTTTCCCCTGCTGCAGCTTGAGGCCATGGCTCCGAGTCCTGCCCCTTGCGGCCACAGAGAATAGCCCTTCTCCACCCTCTGTAATTGCCCACCAGGTATTTGAAAGGTGTTTTTCTGGAGAGGGAAGACTGAAGCATGGTCATGAAGCAGTTTGCCCTAGGACCCAGGGTAATGGTGGCAGCTAGAAATAAAATCCTGGCAGCCAGAAATAAAATCCTGACAATCGTGTCATCACTGCACGCACCGAAGCAAGGCAAACCAGGGGTGCAAATGCAGGCCTGATTTGTGCCTGGCTCTGGCAGGCAGAGATCTTGCTGAAACAAGTGTTGGTAGCATAGGATTTTTTAGATTGCTAGGAAAGGAAAAAGTTCCTTCCCCTGGAAAATGGAGGTTCGAACACTGCTCTCATACAACGCAAGACTGAAGCTGGCCCGGCTGTAGACGTTCATACACAACAGACCTGTGTGGTGTGTTGACTGTGTAGTGCCTTGGTGTGTCAACCGGCAAGTTTCTTACTAGAGAAAGCCCTTTGAATTAGAAAGGAGCCAGGGAAGAGGAGGATCTGGCAGGCCCAGGACGGACAGTGAGAGCCAGATCTAATCAAGTCCAACTGACGAGAACAGTAGCAGACAAGACGTCTCATTCCTACCCATTAAAGGAAACAATAACACAGCCAAGGATCCTGTGGACTTTCCTGCATGGTCTCTGGCAGAAGGGCCGACTAAACCAAGACCTACGCAAAACCCAGACCAGCTCCGTTGCGGAGAGGGGCAGAAATGGGCTCACCTTGGCACACAGGGAACTGAGATCAGCAGCAGAAAGCAAGTGGAATAGGATGCTGAATGGTGATGAGACACCACATTTGCAGGGCCAGAAGCATCCCTGGAATCGGTGACATGCCAGGGTTTGGAGGGTTTCCCCCGCCCCCATTTGTTTGCTTTTTAAACAGCGCACTCCTCTAATAAGGGATGGAGCACACACCAACGGTGCTGCCTGGCCTGGAGATCCTGGCTCGTGGAACATGGCACAAACAATAGAGGCAGATGCTCACTTGGCTGGGTTTCAATGAGCCTCATTAAAATCAACACCCTGTCCTTGGAGCTGAGGTTCAAGCTAGCTTCTGCCTCCTTCACCCAAATGCCACTAACTCCTGGGAACAGCATCCATCCGCAGCGGCAGACTAGGAGCAGCGGCGTGGAGGGAAAATGTGTCCCGTGTTGTTCTGTGCGGCTAAGATGTAAAGAAGTTGCACACAGATCTATTACCATTTTGGACACACGTCCTCTGCAGAAGTCACCACCACCTTTGTGGCCGGCAGAGGAGGACACAGCCCAACCAGGTACTTGGAAGGAGGGTAGTAAGAGATGGTGTAGGGGACACCTCCATCCCGAAACACCCATGCACCCAATTCAATGAAACAAACGTAAATGTCACACCCTCCTCTCTCCATGCACACTGGGAAGTGTTTGAAGTGCAAACGTGTCTAAAACAACCTTACTTGCTCTCTGTTCATTTTGCTGTATCCAAGTACCTCCAGGTTCCAATATGGTAGAGCTTCAGAGGACAAATTCCTGCCAAAAGGCAGGGATGAGGCCAACATGCATGCAAAAAAAAAATCACCAAAACTTGGGGGTGGGTTAACATTAGCATGCATCCCCCTCCAAGAGAGCCACAGCACTTAACTGTCCAAGATGCTGCCAGCCTGTGTCTTATGTGAGGACTGGCTGTGAGCTAGGTACTGCACAAAACCTGTCATGGACAAGATCTTGTGATAGACCCAGACGTGACACTGTGTGGCTACAGGGTGACATCTCGACACTACATTGCAGAATACTCTAAGATGTTATTTAACTTCAGCTGCTCTCTCCAATTTAGGAAGAAGAATGACTAGCATGGCTGACTGCAACCAAAGGTGGCACAGACTGTACCTATCTGAGATGCTTGCATGTCCAGTGGCTTCAATTCTAGAGCTGGGGGTTTCCAAGCTGTGGTATGCATACCCCTGGGGGTTACGCAAGACATCTCTGGGGGGTACACAGGAGAAATTGTGTAGTGGCAGATTTAATTTTCATTATAATAACTGGTTATTTAAGGGGTTAAAATACAAAATGCATGCTGGTAGGGGTATGTGGGCAGCTGGTACCTCTGGAACGGGGTACGCAATAAGAAAAAGTTGGGAACCTCTGCTCTAGAGGATGCAGGAGACCCTCTATCTGCAAGCCCAGCTGAAATGACAATATCAGACACTGTCCAAGGTCAGAAACTGAATGCAGCAGGGCCATGACGTCAAGTTTAGCCACAATGGTGCCCAAGCAACAATCCTGCTCAGCAGCTGCAAAACAAGTCATTCTATTTTGAAACATGATCGAATCAACAAGAGACTAAATGGCGAAGCTGACACGTGCCTGGGACTCGGTGCTGACACTGCTCCGCCGCACTAAGAAGGGTGATGGTAACGCTAGAAGTGTGGTCTTTTGAATGAGATAACAATCCCTTCCATCTTTTGCAAATGGATGTCTCAAGAGAAGTTGAAAATCCTGGTACAACTGGAAGACAGTGAAGTAAAGGAACCTAGGCACCTCCTTGCCAGCAGTTCTCCTCTCCTTGTAATTGCACTGTCCAAGTTTGAGACACCTATCAATCACGGTGGATAAAACCCAGCCCCGTGCAGGGGGCTAGCCCACAACCTACCTACTCCACCCTGTGTTAAGCAGTTCCCAGGCTGTGCTGGTGGCTCCACTCTGAGTATCCAGCTAGCTGGGCTTTGAAGTGCTTTGATACATTACGAAAGGTTCTGAGCAAACCTATTTGTTTTACAACTGGATGGCCAGAGTGTCGGGAACACACGAGTCAGTATTAACGGGAAGCAATTACCCAGGGTGGGGAAATGTATCCAGAAGAACGCCCTTTATAAGCCAATGCAAAACACATGTTCTAGAGATGCAATCCTTATACCCAAGAGATGCAGGCTTCTATCTCTGGGGCCAGAGAACAACGCTATCTCAACAACATGAAAGGTGTCTCGCAGTCTATGGCGCCTGCCTTGCAGCTTGTCAGCAACCCGTTGAAAATATTTATTAGGAGCGATCTGCTTTTCTGGCTTCCCCATAGATGGGCACCAAGCAGAATCTGCAGTCTGACTGCACATGCTGGCGGCTTTAGTCTGCTCACGAGCAGCTTTGTGACACCAGGATACAAACCTGCGATACACAAAGGGCATTTTGCTGAGGGCTGCACTGGTATGCTGTCAAGGAGGATTTCACCTACTCGGTAAAAGAAAAAAAATGGGTCTAACTTCAGATGTCAGTACGTGGTACTTTATCTCTTGAGCTGAGAGACCAGTCTGGCTGCCTGAATTGAAAAGCAGCACTTAATGCTGGGATATGTAGTTTCCATGGACTGCACCTCTAACCCATGACGACTACAAGCTGAGTGATGGCAGGTTGTAGGCCCACAAGCTGCTCAGTGAATCACCTGCATGCAGTGCCAGTTGTGCAACAGGCCCATTTACTGATGGAAAATAAAAAGGGGCCACAGTATCCAGCTTTGCACCAGTGACGCCCAGGCTGAAAAAACAACAGCTGAGAGCTGGTTCAAAGGTGGATCCTGCACAGATCTCTCCAAGCTGAAAAAGGAAGCGAAAGGAGAAGATCCAAGGAATAAGCAGTGAGAAGAGGGGGTAGGTTTTATAGCGGTCGTGTTGTGGTGACAGAGGAGCAACAAACTGCCAGCTGGTTCCAGTAACAGATGGCTGCATGCACTGATCTGTCCTGCATGCCTACTTCCAACCTCCTTCCAATGGAAACATGAAGCTTATGCAAGGCTAAACATGTCCTTTACACAGGCCTTTTTATGCATATGGTATCATGGCTGGAATGTTTTCCGCTTGTGCGCACAATCCCTCGTGGAGCTGGCTTCTTTTTCTCTAGTTATATTTAGGTTTAGGAAAAAGCTGGTGGTTATTGACATTTCAGCTCTTCCCCTTCCAATGGGTGCATCTAGTACATCTCTTCCCATTCCCACTGCTGTGTTGGGTTTCATTGTTAATCGGGTTTTTCTTGCGGTGCCAGGCATCAGAAAGCCCTGCGTGCAAAGAGCCTCCATCCGGCACGTGCAGGTGTAACTCTGGGTAGTGACCGGCAGAGGGTGCTGGAGACAATCATTCAATGGGAAGAATACCCACCCCACCCCCAAACCCTCCTCCCTGGGAAGGACTTGCTGTTCCTACACATGCAGCCACCCTGTGGACAGGGGAAACCAGGGACCCAAACTCCCACTCCCCATGCAGAAGCACAGCACCCCAAAAGGTAGGGGATAGGCCTTCCATGAAGGCCAGAAAGGCGGTCCAAAGCGTCTGCTGTACAAAATACGTTTGTCATAACCCATTCTTCCAGGATAACCTCTCCCTGCTTAACAGCAAACACGCTGCTCACAAAAAAGACACCGAAATAGAGCCACTCGATCACTTACTTTGGCCACGCAGTTTTCCGTCTTCATTGCGGTGCTTCCTAGACACACGGTTTCCTGGTTTAAGCACAGTCTGGCACAGCTGTTGTAGGTCTGTGGAAAGATGACAATGGTTCTCAACAGAGGAGCACAGCTTTGCTTTGCGGGCATCTCATTTTTGGTGCAAGGTACTCTCATGGCCCTCTGAAGCCACCCTACTGTATTTCTGAACCGCTCTCCTCCTCAAGGAGGGGAGGTGAAGTGTGAAGGCTCGCACAAACAAGTGTGCACTGTTCATCTGTACAGGGTGTGCGTGCATGTGTGTGTACATAGCATTATGCTACCCTCCGTGCATGGATATATTGTATTCTTATTTATTTACTTTTTAAATAGAAGGGGAAAATATTGCAAACCATATGGCAATTTCAAGCTTTACCAGGAAAAAAAGGGAAGAGGGAGAGGAGACAAATTAGTTTTGTATTCTTTTTTCTTGCTTGTTTAGGAGTATAAAGACAAAGGGCGGAGGGAGGTGCTCTTTTCCTGAGCCTCTATGGATTCTTATAATAAAATATCTGGGGGGAAAAGGCCCATTACAAAAGCAGACCTGATAAGCTGCAGACTGTACCTCCAGTCTCCCAGCTTCTGGGTGTTTGTCCTTTTGGATCAGATGTCCTCTGGGCACGGGACATCTCTTCCTACCTCTTCAGACAACGGGAGACACCTCAGCCTCGGGAGACACCTCAGGGATGTGCTCTCCCCTCCTTTGTAAAGCCCTCTGAGATCACACCGTGATAGGAAAGTAGGGCTGGAAGAGACCTTACAAGGTCATCCAGTCCAAACCTCTGCTCAAGGCAGGATTGTCCCTAATAAACCATCCCAACCAAGCGTCTGCCCAACCTGCTCTGGAAAACTTCCAAGGATGGAGAGTCTACTACCTCTCTAGGTGCCTGGCTCCAATGCTCGACCACCCTTGGAGCCAGAAAGTTCCTCCTCATCTCCAACCTGAATTCCCCCTGCTGCAGCTTGAAGCTGCTTCTCCGAGTCCTGTCCCCTACGGTCAAGAGAGAAAAGCCCATCTCCATCCTCTCTACAATCACCCTGCGGTATTTGAAGACTGTTAACACATCCCCCCGCAGTCTTCTCTTCTCCAGACTAAATGAATGAGATAATGCATGGGAAGTGCAATGGACGGAATAATTAAGAAGGCTCATGCTGCAGTTTGATGGGTTTTGCTATTTAAGCTCAGACATCCTAAACCAGACGGGTCTCTAAGGCCCCTCTACACGTGCAGGTAAAGGCACGATGTGATCTAATGCATGGTTGTATCTCCTGCCAGGACACACGTGCATGGCAGGAGGTGTGGTTGGGGGCTTGCGCATTATATCTCATTGCGCCTTATGCTGGTGCAGGGGGAGCCTGATGCCACCAGCAAGAAGCAAGGGCCCACAGCTGGGAGCCCCACACACCCCAGTTGAAGGGCACACCATGCACCCCCAGACATGGAGCATCACTGCTGCAGTGATCTCCATGCCCTGGGGGTGCAGGAAACCCCTGCGCCCAGAAATCAGTGTCCCCAGGGTTTCTCACACCCCTGGTAGGAGGAATGGCCTCTGCAGCAATCCTCCAGCCCAGGGGGCCTCCTGCACCCTGGAGCTCTAGGGATTAGGGCAGCCATGATTCTGGGGGTTTTCAGCACCCCTGGACCTCAGGGATGACAGATGCCTCAGTCCCTTAGGCTCCGGGTATTTATGCTGGGCATGGTTCACCCCTCCAGTGAAAAGCCCAGCAGCTGATGGGACTCCCAGCTGCAGGGGAGACCCTGCTGCACATGCAAATCAGAGCTAGATAGCAACCAGCTATAAACTCAGTACACAGTTCCAAGGTCTAACTTTACAGCTGATGGGAGCTTTTTATTGTGTGATAGCTACCTTGCATGTGTAGCTGGTCTCCAGGTAGCTGCATAATTAACCAGTTAATTGGGCAACACCTGTAACACGTAGAGGGGGCCTAATAAAGATCTTTTCTTCCCAAGCCCTTGTCTGCCCAAGCTTGGTTTGATAACACTCAGTCTACCGGTAACAGGATGACTGTGGCATCCAGAAGCTGCAGGTATGAATCAGGACCCTGTTACATTAAGTCAGGAACAAACAGAGAACAAGAGCTCAGAATCCAAGTAGAGGACAGCAGAGCGATGGGAAGAGCACAAGGAAACACCACCAGTGCACCAGGTACTGAACTATCACTGAAGGCATCGCAGCAAAAGGAATATTGGAGAAGTTTACGAGGAATCTCCTTCCCAAATCAAGGGGCAGCAAAGGAGAATGGGATGATGTAGCTGGGGCTGGCCCTGCTTTGAGCATGGGGCTGGACTAAATGCAATGTCCTGAGGTCCCTTCCCACCCTCACTGTCTGTGGTTCTGTGAGAAAGCAGGAAAGGGGCTTGTCTACAGATGTTGGAAATGGGTGACGAGAACTGCTGAGCCTCTCGATAGTGGACCAGAGGATAAATAGGGAGCAATGAACTGCCTTTATGGAAAGGCAATTTATTTTGATGCCTTACAAAGAAATGCCCTGGTAAACCAAAGAAAGGCAGGCTGCACACTGCACAGGTCCTTGCAAGGCACATGGAGGGGGACAGCGGATGGGAGGGGACACACAGGGGCACTCACCTTACCCAGGGGCCTTCAAGGTCTTCCTTCCAAAGCATCAGTTTATTCATTCAACCCCAGACTTGCAAGACACCATAACACTCTCAGTCCACACACTGTAAAGGCCCAGAGGCCTTGGTGTCTCCTCCCAAGCCAGTCACCAGAGCCAACCTCCCTTGTGCTGGTTCTTCCCTTCCAGCCACCCCAAGCTGAACAGGCTCGGCCCCCGTCACAAGTCCAACACTCAGTCCAGGTGCAGACTGACGGCCCACAGCTCGGTGCATAAACCTTCCCACCCCGGACGGTGCTCGTCCATTACTCTTCTCAGGACTTCCTAACTGGGAAAGGAACGAGCCCTAACAAGACTGCAGGATGCTCTGGCTCACGCCGACGTTCCTCCAAGCCAGAACGCCAAGACCTGGCGGGAGAGGGTGGGGAGCAGGCAGCACTTGGCAATTTCCAACGCTGGATCCCAAAGGAGACGTTGAAAGACGGGAGTGCATGAATCCTCTCAAACAGCCCTGTGTCACGTGGGTCAGCACAACGGGTCTAGACTCAACCTGGGATTAGGTCTCAAGCATAAAGGAGCTTGACGGCCTCCACCTCCCCGAGGAAATTTGCTGACACCATAAAACCATCCGTTTGCTACGCTGAGTGCTTCCTACTCAGGGGACAGATGAGAACCAAGTGTTATGAATTACGATTTAGAGGCACACTGACCTAACTGGTACGGGGAGGTATGGACACTGCCTGCCTGCACTGCGCTCCAGACTATTCGACTCAAACCTCATCCAAAGTGGATTCAGCCTGTAATTTGAGGGGAAAACCCTTGAGAAGTTGATTCCTTCTCCCTCGTCAAAACATCTGCATCTCTGCTTCCCCGCCCATGAGTTGGGGATAGAGCTACCTGCCTTGCAAATCTATTTGGAGGATCAGCCTTTGCACGGTGATTTGAAAATATCATGTGCTATGTTAGTGCTAAACCATCAGCCATGTAGTTCTTCCTCCGCACTTTGTCTTGCCATGAAAACGGTGAAAGGAGCTGAAACTTAAAAGGAACATGAAAAATGCTTGAGTCTCGAGTAACTAAGAAGAGCAGTGAATCCCGGTGAAGATTTATACATGCCCTACAGCAAGCTCAGGAAGGTCTCAAGCTAGAACTTAAAGGGTGAAGCAAGCGCTCTTCTAAATTAATACAGAAGTCAAAGTTATTCAGTCACAGACAGTGCACGCATGCATGCTAACAGGTTACAACGAATATCGGGCGGATGTATTCCTTCCTTCCGCAAGTCTCCAGTTCCCAGATCTGTTTTTTGCCTGGATCCTATCTCAAACTGAGCTTTGGTGCTACAGCTCGTATGGCTGCCTGGGAGACTAAATGCTGACCCCAAGTCTGGGAAGAGGAAAAACTTTTCAGATCGCCTTAAAAATGGACCCCTTTAAAGTTCTTATCTTGTCTGAAGGCGGCCAAGGTTTTCCTTGCCCTCCGTCGAGATAACAGGTTTCCGTGCCATAGGAAGCACTTTGAAACGGTAGCCTGGTTCGACGCCAGAGGCAGATAGCTTTGCGTTGGAGTGCTTTAATATGTTTTTATATTGCGTATAAAGCATGCAAACATAAACCAGTTTGTTGAAAACTACCTTCTTTGTGGAAGCCGGCTGTAATTCTGAACAAGTTTTCAATTTTCGCACTGCTGCTAGGGTAAAACATTTTAAAGAGTTTAATTTTTACAGTGGCTTCAATGACACAGGATTATCTAACAAAGTAATGGCTAATCAATAGAGGGTTTAGTTGTCAGGTGAAACATATAACACACTAAAAGGGATTGATTGCCCGACTCCTCCTTATTTACTAGGAGGTATATATTTAAAATGACACAAACTTGTTACCAACTGCATTCCTTTAACCTTGCAAAAGCCGTTTGAGAAGAGTGTTAAGCAGCCCTATAGCAAAACAAGATCTAATGAAAAAAAACAAACCCTACAACTATATGGCAGCCCCAAATCATGTCAGGAGCAGGGGAGACCACAAAGCCGCATTCGTTCTCAGCCAACGGCTTAAAATGCCACAAAATGCTAGACTGTAGTTCACTAAACATCGAGTTTTTAGCTGAATTTGTTCCACAAGTATTTTAAGTTGGGTTTTTTCCAGTGCTTGTGTGGCTCCATCTGATAGACTGTCTATTTAAAGAGAGAGCCCGTGACCCTGAGCTCCTTGGGCTCACGCTTCCCCCCCCTCCGAAATGATGGGGAATGAAGGCAGCGAGCCCGGCTGAAGCACCGAACCCAAAGTGGAATTGCGTTTATATGGATTTCAACTTGCGGAAAAGCCATTTCTTCGGCCATTAATTCAGAGAATCCCCAAGTCCTTGAACAAAACTCCTCTTTTTAATAGACACTGCAACCCAGGAGCTCAATAAGATTTTTTTCCCCACTAGTTAATAATTACATGATTTATCAGAGAAAG